AAGTTTGAGGGTAGGGGATAGGGGGTAGGGGTCAGAATGAGGATGCGGGATATGATATATATGAAATAATGGTTATATTATGTGATATTACCCTCTTGGGAAATTAAGTACAGTGGTAAAAGGGAAGAGGAGTGGAGTAGATGTACATTATAGAAAGGGGGAGGGAAGGGAAGCGAAAAGAAAAGAAAAGAAAAAAGGAGGGGATGGGTTTATGGATGCTGAAGAGAGATGTTATATTGTAATGTATTACGTAGTAGATGGGCTAATAGAGATGTGTATGAGGTATAGTTATTGTTATTGTGGTTGTTTTTATAGAGATATGGGTGTGTGTGTGAGAAATTGAAAAGTGTGAAATGGATTGTAGATGGTGAATTGTGGATTATAGAGGATTTAAATCTATAATTATATATAAACCATACAAACACAAATACTGACCACAAATATCCAGCCGCACCTCTTCCCGCCCCCAAATCAGATAATCAGAGGCAGAGTAACATCTAAAATCTATCAAGTTGGGTCCAGCTATTCTATTGGATCTATTGAATGCCCGACGTACAGGAATATAAAACACTTGCATATGATATCTTACTTAGGACCCTTCTTTTACAATCTTACTTTCACGATCATAACCCTGCAGCGATATATCCATATACGAATACTTTCGCAACAATCTCGTTGAAAAATCTATCAAAATGAGTAGGTTTCAAAATAGCAACCCTCCCTCGAATGCTGAGAGAGCAGATCTAGCATATTGTATTTGTGCTGTAGTCGGTACGCTAGATTAGGGATGTCTTCATGGTGGTTTAGATTTTGATTATCTCGCAGGACTGTGCAATCGCTTAAAAGGAATAGATAGATAGAATGAAGAAGATAGTTCACTTCTCTGCAACATGCGAAGTATAGCAATTACGTCGAGGGATATAGATGACCGGAAACAAGCATAAGAAGCTCGAAAACATCTTGTGCTTCTTTAAAACGCCTTTGTTTTTCGAGTTGATCTAATCGCAAGGCCTGAGACAGTACACCTAGGTAGGGAAAATGTACATCAAGCTCTTCTAGCGATGGGTAAGGAGACTTTACTACTTTGCCATAGAGAAACTACGCCTAGAATATTATGAAATTTAATTGTCAACGTGTTAGAATTGTCTTTAATAGAGAACCTTTATGCTCGATAGAAAGAATCACAACAGCCATTAGGTCCTTCCTCTGGTCCATCTTCCCCAATATTCACAGCAGAAAACATACTTTGAATGGACGAGGGTATTTGTGACATGAACGATAAGCGATATGGAAAGAATTAGCTGGACACCCAAGTATCAAGGAAATGTAAGGCGAGCCGCCTTTGTTTCCTGATCCAAAATAGGGGTTGGCTTGAACGTTGTTCTATATCCACGCCCGTACAATAGCGATCCTGCGTCAAAGTGCCAAAAATAGGCCTTGCTATCCGAGAAAGATACGCCTACCCTTCCCCTCCCCTGTTTGTTCCATAATCTACCCCCCCCACCTCTAGACTTTCTTTACGCTCTAGAAATGGTAACTGATCCAAAGTTCTAATACTCAAATGGGCACGATACACATTGAGACAAATAGCCGATGTCACAAGGGGTAGTTTTAATGGATGCCAAAGCAGAGCGTGTGCCACAACTACTTCCTGAAAGATAACAGAAAATCGATCCCCTATTTAATATCGGTGTAAGATAACATGAATCCAAGAAACTTTTTCATTAATTTACCTTCTCCCCCACAAGTTAAAGAGATGAATATTGCTCAATCTCACATGCAGAGGTTGATGCATCGGTATCGCTGTTACCGGTACCACTATCTGAGATATCTAGTAAGTTTCATACAGGACACTTTTCATATATTACCTACATTTCCTGCAGAACTCGGTATCCTATTGCTACGATCCGCGGCAACTGTTCTATGATTCGACGAGAGATACCTCAACCAGCTCCGCTTGGATTCTCGAGTCCGTCAAGAAGCCTGTGATGTAGTGGCTCTCATTTCTTAAGGCTTATCACCCAGAACACGGCTGGGTGAGGATTGACCTAGCCCATACTCAAACCCTCCTTATCGGCAACGATTTGTTTTTGTGTTCCCCGATCATTGTCGATGATTCCCCGTCCAAACAAAAGACAGTACCCCTAATAATCGCTAAGCATGGTCTCCACATTATTCATTTGACATATAAATATCGATAAATGGACCGAAAACAAATGTATCTCTGCCATGGCATCTTCCACGCTATACTCCACAGAAACCACAGACCTCAATACTTCCCGGAACCAAAATGTTGAATTGCAAGACGACGCTTACCATCTGATGCAGTACCAAGATGGGAGGTTGGGTGTTACCTATGTTGGCGATTCTTAGTCTTCAATCTTGCGATTGTGGATCTGGGACAGCGTTTAGGTTTAGGCCTACCCCCACATCATTGCTCACCACCTACAAATCCACCTATAAAACTTCAAATAATACGTAATCCGCCCTTTCCTTGACTTCGCAGACTCGAGGAGTCTGAACAGCGTGGCAGGTCGCGGCGCGGGGCCCCTCACGCGGGCTGTATTGATTTCAGACTGCCCCCTTTGAACCAGGGTTCGGAGACGAGCGTCAAGATCACTGTATGTAGTAATATAACTCTATGCGTAGTTAGTAATGACAAAGATCGTTGGTAACTATATGTTTGACCAATTTTAGATTCGATATTTCGTTTAACGAAACAAATTGCGAAGGGAAGCTTCTTGAGACGAGAGATCAAGCGCAGGCGCGAAAAAACAAGAGTCCGTGTCAGAGGACTTAGGGCATCTCAATCGTTGAAGCATGCCCTGTGATTACACGAGCAATGGATGATAGAGGCTCAAAATCTCAAAAAATCTCATACAAGATTTCGACCCAGGCAAAGCTTCGACAACCTTCTCCAATGCTACAGGGGGTTTATCATCGAAGGACTGTCTGTAGGTAAAACTCTCAAGACAGATGAATTGCTTCAAGATGGTGTACATGAGAGTGACATTGGTGACACTGCCATCAAGAAACAGGGTTGTGATTTGCGACCGTACGATAGGTCGAGATGGGTACGTGATCAAATTTCGGTCGTGAAATAATGGACTGGAAGTGCATTTAAATTCTTTCAAAGATGGTAATGCGAGGAATGCGAGGATATCATCGGACGTGAAAAAGGCATCTAATCATGTGTGCTGTGAGGCACGCTCTGATGAAGTTCTAAGGAGTGTATTACCATGCCAATCCCACCCGATGGAAAGCTTGGTGATGGGAGATAATGGAGAGTTTGAGATTCTTGTTACGAAGAATAGTGACAATACTTCGACCAAACATCTGAAGAAGTGAGGGTCCAGGTTCTCTGCTAGCACCATTCAACCACGCTGGTAAATCGACGTTTTCGGCGCAGGTTGCCTTGAGGAGCACAAGAACCACGAACATCCAGTACGAATCATGTTCTCGTTTACTTTAGGACGAAGCGAGAGATTGCAAGTCATGCCCTTCTTTCACAAGACTGTAAATATCAAGATCGAGGAACAATGACTCTTGCACAGATGATCTCCGAAGACGTGGGCGAGAGAAATCAGATAATGCTCGACGCGCATTCATATCACTACGCCTGATGAGGGAAGCAATATTATCGTTCGCGTAGAGGACAAAATGCTTCATCTAATACACCTGCGGTTGAATATTTCATGTTATATTTTCTTGTTGCAAAATTAGTCTTTGCAACATCTTATTTACCATAAAATACCAAAAGTTTCAATGACAGGGTAAAACCGAGAGTAGTAGCCACGTACTGACTGATCAGGTGGTGGCTGGAAGGTTTTATGAGTTGATACATCCTGCCCTTTCAACCTAAAGTACTGACATCGACCTAATGTAGTGTGGATCTAAGAGGGTATCAGAATAAATGTTCCTCGAAGAGATATGAAGAAGTGAAAAAGTAAAGATGACCTTGAGATATCTACCAGAACCCTATGCATCAATTCGACTGATTCTCTCTTTTCTTTCTTGAATCGGGAAATCTATTTCGGAAGTATCGTGGAATTCCCCAATAGATTATATCCTCGCCTTCGAACGTATATGAATACTAGTGATTCTAAGTCCATGATGCAAGCGCATAGATATTACAGAGATATCCTCCTCGAATAATACCGTCTCTATTGGTATTTTCAACTTTCCATACGCTAAGACTGCAATGCCATTTTTGTCGACATGATCATTTTTAATAATGTTTCAATTCGATTAGGCTTCATAATAACCGTTTCGGCGAAAATGGCATTGTATTTGAATTGCACTGCCAGTAAATTTGCTGTAATTTAAAGGCCTAAAATACTTGGTGGTAGTCAGTAAAATGTCATCTAGAAACTCACATCAGTGAAAATAGCCAATTGGTTGACATTCGAAGTATTAGCAGAAATAATTCCTTCAAACCAGTTTATAGCGACTCAAAAGTGATCTCTATATCACGCTGCTCCCACATAGTTAGATCTAATTAGATCGTCGTTCCAGAAAGAAGTTACTAAAAATGACAACAGTAATCACTTCGAGTCACCGAGAGAAACCAATACCAATGAAGTTCTGTAACAAATGTTAACACTTCGCTTTTCCGAATTTCTCCAATTTTGCACGATCTTGCGAGGGAGTCTGAGGCACAGGCTTGCGAACGTGGAGATGAGCACTTTAAGACATCCTATAAATCACCTGTGGCTGCTTTGGTGTGCATAACTTGACTTTGTAGGATTATATATACCTAATCCGATACTATGAAGCGTTCGATACAGGAAAGCTAGGTGGCTACGTGCTGTCTTGATAGCCCACAAGTTGATGACTATTCGCTCAAGTGACGCGTGACAATCAAGGTCTTGTGAGCAGAAAGCTTAATCTTCTAGGTTATACTGTAGATTGAATCTGGGTATGCAGTGAAGAAATGGAGTAGGAAGTTTTGCCCATCAGAAAGTTCTAACGACTCTAGTGTCTTCGACCTCTTTAGGTGAATGTTCATTCACTACAACATTGAGAAATGCGTGAATATCTCATGTCACATCGGCAGTGTGGGATGGACATTTGCACCGTATTTCTTCTTACGAAAATTGAGGAAACAGCTGAACACAGGTATTTTGGACACGAATCTCAACCTAGACCTAATCCGTTTCCGCTTTTTGGTCTCCAGTGGCGATTTAAATGTCATAGAGACACGTGACGTTCTTGCCCGTTATCTAGGAAAATACGGAGCACCACCAAATGTGATATCTGCAGCCTTGTAAGTTGGATTTCAACTTGTTCTGGGCTCAAATACCACTGGAAGAACACCACTAAGCTAACAATGCCATAGTGGTATGACAGAAACCTGTGTTGGATCTATCTATAATCTCGATTGCCCGAGATACGATGTTCAGAATACGCAGCATTTCTGTTCTCTTAGCCGCTGCATCTCAGGAATAGAGATGCGAGTTACAGTCACTCAGGCTGGCGATGAAAGTGTCGAGGCCTCAGCAAACGAACTTGGCCTTCTTGAAGTTCGTGGACCTAACGTATTAAAGTGCTATTTCAACAATAAGTCCGCTACAACAGCTTCCTTCACTCCAGATGGCTAGTTTAGGACGGGAGACCACGCCAGGATTGATCGAGCTGGAATGCTCCATCTGGTAGGGAGAATAAACGATACCATGAACATCAATGGTGTTAACCATCTCCCGAACGAGCTAGAGGCTGCCATCGAAGAGTAAGTACGGTTTCATATCACATCTGCCAATCATGCTCTGTTCAGCTCTCATTAATCTAGATAAAGATTGAAGCTGACTTTGCGAAAATAAAGGTTTGAAATTGAGGGTGTGACACCGAGTTACGCGATATGCTTTTCCTTCCGTCCACTTGGTGCGGAATCAGAGAAAGTCGAAGTTGTGTACTTGCCCTTCTTTGGACCTCAAGATGTCGATCCTCGAATTGCAGCTCGAGACGCCATAATTCAAGTCACAATGTTACAAACTGGCTCTCGACCTTCAGTTCTGCCATTGAACGATAATTTGCTGCAGAAAACGACACTTGGAAAACTCTCTCGCGCCAAAACCAGAATTGCGTTTGAATGTGGTGACTATAAGCAATGCCTGGACTTTGATAAGATGCAGATCGAAATATGTAACTCATCTCGTACGCAACAACCTTGTACTGAGAGCGAATGCATTATTCATGAAGTATTTTGCGAGGATCTAGATCTCCACCCACAATAGTTAGGCGTCAATACACATATTTTTGAGATTGGTATTACCTCCATCCATTTAATCTGATTAAAACAGAAACTTCAGAGCCGCTTTTCCATCCCAGAGATTCCTGTTCGTATAATGATGCAAATTTGACCGTTCGAGAGCCAGCCACAGCTCTGGACAATTTCAGTAAACCACGAAACTGTGAACCAATCATGGCACTTCAAAATAATGCAAGAAAAGCCTCTCTATGGCTCTTTCACCCAGAAGTAAATAATATCTCCCCCATGATCCTGCTGATTCGAAGTATCATGTACGCATGAAAGCCTAGAGGGAAGATCATGGTATGGTGCTTGCAATATAATCAACTCAACGGGATTTCAATAGGATTGTTAGCACAGCTAGTCATCGACGCATTTGGAAGTAAGTAGTATGGTCATTTGTGAAAAAGGTGCTCCTACAGCATAAGTCCTTCACCCTGCAAGCGAGATATTACTGATTATGAATCGATCACGCTCCTGAAAAGCTACTCAGATTCAGGAGTTCTTTATCGTCGAAAAGCCTGCTCGAACAATGTTCTACGTCGGTTTGCCGCAGTTGTTTCAATATCCAGATGAAACAAGACTTCATGAAAATACTCCGTGGGTACAGATATGGTTTCATTCCGTTCAATGGCATTTGGTGCTTCTTGCTGAACAACATAATCAGAATCATCAACTTCAAGCCATCTTCCAGCCACAGCACGACGAAGCCGAAGAGATTTCTAGGCTTCTAGCTCTGATACAGACTCAACCTCGAGCTCTTCGTCTAGTTCAGCTAACGATGAGGATTTGGACATGCTCAAGGTATTCACCTCTTTGTTGTCTGCCGCTAATTTGAAATATTAATTTTAGGACCAGAATGTCATATTTCTTGGATTGAAACCAATTTAAACATATTATTTTTGAGACTGGATTTACACTTTCCTCCAAGACCTACTTAGCAGATTATAATTTTGAGGTCAGAATAGTATATCCTGTCATTCAAAAACTGTGATAGTAACACAGTATATACTTGAGACCCGGATAACATAAAAAATAATAAAGCGAGACCGGAACAATACCGTATGATGCCCTAAATAGCATTTATATTGAACTTAATGGTTTATAGGTAGGGGAGCTCAACCTAATAAGAATTAGCACTGTCAACTGTGTAGTGCGTATTCTATCAAAAGCTATGTACAATAGAGTTGACTATACGAGGGCCTGTTTTTATTGAATGCCGGGTCCGTGCACCAGTAAGAAAATATCGATAATAAGATTCTCTAGTTTTTAATAATTAAATAATAAATCAAATATTCAATGTAAATTATTAGAAATACTTTTAATAGATTAAGAAGATAATAAAGTATTATAAAATCGATAAAATAGGGAGTTTTTTAATGAACGTTGTATTATTATATTAATTTGTATATGAGACAATAATTTATTCAAGATTGATATTTTCGCTTACAGAAAGTCGGTATTCTTTAGAAACAGGCCCTCGTATTAATCGTTTGATTACCTAATACGCCTAATGCTCTCAGCGCGCTTTCTACAACTCAACATCGAGCATCGAACTTCATCCCACCAGCACATATCACATCCAAACAACATCTTCTCCCAATTTTTCACTTCCAATTATGTAAATTCCAAGAAAGTTAGAGATACATATTCCCATCTCATCCCCTCCCTTTAGATCAATATGCAAAAAGCCGAAGATTCGCCTAGTAGTTAGTTTTAGAGTCTCTCCTATTCACTAGGTACTGTGTGAAACTTATTTCTTTCTAGACTAAAATATTAGAAAGTCACCAGAGATTTGGTAATCATAGCTCATCATGGACAATTTATTCTCTAAACTTTAGTGATTGTAAAAGTAAGTTCGTAAATTACATCCGTCTTGTATCCCAAATAAATACATTTATTAAAAACTACTCGCATCTCATCAAATCAATAAATACAAAAATATAATAACCAACCACAAACCTATAACTTCGCCCTCTCAATCTCCTTCCTAGCCCTTCCATTTACTCTCCCCTTAATCTCAAAGTACTCTCTAACTTTCTCTCTCGCAACCTCAATTACACTCTCATCTTCAATCGTCGCCGGAACATTAACACTTTCCCCCCCCTCACCATGATATTCATTTTCCAACAATTCCCTCAAAACCCTCCTTAAAGTTTTGCCTAGAAAACCATCTCGTCAGTCACATTCAAACTTCACAACCCATCCCCTTTCCAACTCTAAGACGAGAAAAACTCACCACTTCGTGTTTTAGGAATCATATTTCTCCCCTGAATAATTCCTCCTAGACTAGCAATCGCCCCGATTTGTTTCCTCACCAGCCCCTGGATTTCTTTCTCCAAGTCTGCATGTGGAATTGCGGATACGGGATGAGTAGGCGTGGAAAGTGTTATGAATGCAAATGGCATATGTCCTTTGAGAGGATCAGGGATACCGACTACGCAGCATTCAGTTATGAGGGGATGTGTTGAGATTGCTTGTTCGATTGCACCTTTGTGGTATTAGCTTTGTTGATATGAATTTGTTGATGGTAGGTAAGTCGAATATTTGTGGAAGCGAAAAGAAAACAATTGAAAGAGGCAAGATGGGCGATCGAAAGAAATAAGAGACAAACCAGTGCTAAAACGATGAGCTGCCACATTGATAATATCATCACTTCGACTCATTACACTAACCCAACCTCCTTCATCTATAACACCCGCATCTCCCGTATCAATCCATTTCCCATCAAACCGCTTCATATATCCCTTATAGAATCTTTCTTCATCATTCCATAACGTTCTAAATCCTGTTGGTGCTAAAGGGATCCCAAGAACGATATTACCCATTGTCCCACGTGGAACTTCCTTGCCGTTATCATCTACGATGCGGACATCGAATCCCGGGAGAGGTTTACCAGCACTCCCAGGCTTGATGGGAAGGACTGGTGTGGTACCATGGGTATAAGTACGGGATAATGCGCTTTGAGGCGAGAGTGCAATTCCGGTCATAGGACTTCCTGATTCCGATGACCACCAATTATCAATTACATTAGCACCCTTTGCCGCATATTTTGTGAGAAGCTCTTGATACATGTTGACGATACTCGGTTCACTTCTTTCGCCAGCAAGGAATAACGCGCGGAAATTCTGAAGTCCACCCTTTTCTCCAATTTCCCTGAATAATTTATTTTCCGGATCGTCGCGACGGATAGCTCGAAGAGCTGTTGGTGCTGTAAAAAGGGTATTGACTTTATATTCATCGATGATCCTCCAAAATGTTCCCGCATTCGGTGTTCCTACTGGTTTTCCCTCAAAGAGGACAGTCGTGGCACCAGCTAAGAGTGGTGCGTATAAAATATATGAGTGACCAACTACCCACCCAATATCGGATGCGCAAAATATTACATCTCCAGGTCCATGAATACCAAATATATAACGAATAGATAGATTTAAGCCGACCGCGTGACCACCCGCTTCTCGTAATACACCTTTAGGTAAACCGGTTGTTCCAGATGTATAGATGATATAGAGACCATCTGTACTCTTTATAGGTACGCAATCTGCTTTGACTCCTCTGGAACCAGCACTTTTGACTAATCTTTGCCAATTCCTCTCGCCGTTTTCCTTATTGGGATTCTCCCATCGTAGTTGTTCGCGTTGCCATATAATAGTTTTACTGGGTTTATGAGATGAGAGGGCAATGGCTTCTCGGATGAACGGTTGATATGATAGAGGAGGTTTTGTTCCATCGATTCCACAAGAGGCTGTGAGAATAGCTACTGGCTTAGAGGCTTCAATTCGTTGCGCCAAGCTTGCTGGAGCAAATCCTCCAAATACGACGGCATGAATAGCACCGAGACGAGATATTGCGAGGGTACCTATGAGAGCTGCGGGAATCATGGGCACTGTAATTGATTAGCTATGGTTTCTTCGAATAAGTCAATTTCATACGTATGTCCTTGAAACTCACTGTAAACCAAAACTATATTCCCCTTCCCTACCCCCTCCTCTCTCAAAACCCCCGCGAAAACTTCCACCTCCTTCAACAAATTTTTATAGCTAATCTTCTCCTTACATCCTGTAACAGGACTATCCCATATAATCGCCGTTTCTTCCCCATTTCCTGCCAAAACATGTCTATCCACACAATTGTAACAAGTATTTATTTCTCCATCCCCAAACCATTCCCAATGTTTATGCGAAGTACCTGATTTCAACGTCTTTGTTTTCACAGTTAGGATTTGGGTTGGTGGCTTATGCCAGTGCAAATGGGAAGCTTGTTTCGCCCAGAAGGATTGGGGATCAGAGAGAGATTGAGATTGCACTTCGTCTTGGGGATGGAGGGGCATTTTTGACTGCGGATTGATTGATTAGATAGTAATTTGATGGTATAGGGAACTGAGAATTAATGGAGATGTACTGACGATCGAATGTGAGGTTGTCGTATTTCTGATCTCAAGCTACACGAACTGTATCCCATGTGCCTAGGTATCGTCTGATACACTCTCAAATATTGTACGAATTTATCTCAAATAACTAAATTACTTTGAGCAATTCGAAGTCAACAGTTGCAGTATCGAACAAAAGTCTCCAGTAAATCAACAAGTCGAGTATCGAGATTCAAACTGCGAGCTGAAAGAAAAAGAAAATATAAAGTGACATCAGAAATAAAACAAAACAAAACATACTTATCTCACTCATTCTTACATGCACACGTAAATCTCACATCCTACCTACCTACCACTTACCTTCTCATCTCGGTCTCGCAACGGATAACATCGGACTGATGGCTATACCTGCAAGAAGCTTAGTTGATATGCTGCTTATAGGGGAGAATAGTAAATCAATGATCATTGCTCCCCGGCCGAGTGAGATTTCGTAGATCCCCGCATCTAAGCTCTGAACTCTAATAGCCGAATTAGCTTTCCCCATTAACTTCTAAGCTCGGTCCAAGGCTTAATTCTGGATGAGTCAGCAATGATTTATTTTATTTTTCAAAAAGGGA